GAAGAAACAGGTCCTTTTTTACCCTCCCAGTGGGAGCAGAACCCCAGGGAGGAGCTGCTGCATCTCTCTTCATCCCAGCCCCACTGAGGGCCTTTTGTACAACCAGGGAGGAGGTTTCTCCATCACTGGAGGAACCTGCTCTAGTGGGAGGTGTCCCTGCCCATGAAGGGGGTTGGAACTAGATTATTTGAAGGTCCCTTCCAACCCAACCCAGTCCATGATTCCATGCTGATGGCTGGTGACAGCTGGTGCTCAGGGAGCTGTGGCTGGAATACAGCCTGGGAAAAGCCAGGAACCAGCTCCAGAGGGGGAGCAGAGTGACCAGGCACTGAAGGAATTAAAAGTGGCTCTGGAAGGACAAGCCACCAAGCTGGTGACCAGCCTGGCCAGGTGGACACTGGTGGCTGCAAGGAAGCTGGACACCCAGAGCTGCACAACTGGCCTTGCAGAAGACTTCCTCTTGTTTCTGAGAGGGGCAAATTCACCAAATGTTCTCCAGGTTGCTTTGGTTTCAAGGGTGGGTTTTCTTGCACACAGTCCCCACCATGGATAGCAGGTGGGAAGGAACTGGCAGCAGTGGGACATTCCTGGTGGCCTGGGGGCTCCAGCTCTGCTAGGAAGCTGTTCCAGTGTGGAGCCCCTTCCCAGTGTTCCCCAACAGCCCCCAAAGCACTTGCAGGGCCCAACCCAGCTCCTGTCCCCATCACCCAGGCCACCCTGCCCCAGGACAGCACCACAGGCCTTGGGGACACTGAGCTCACCCCCAGGGCACCCCTGACCCTGCAGCCCAGAGGCAACCTGCACACCCAGGAGCCCTTCCCAGCTCTTGTTTTTCATTTGCATTATCTCCCTTTCTATTATTTATTGATAACACGTAATTACCACATCCCTCACCAACCTTAATTAAAGATGAAACAGTCCTGACAAGTCAATTAGATTTGGTTTTTTTTCCTTGGTCTCCATTAAATTAAGATTCAAGTGTTCCTGGAAGTGCTTAATATCACAGCACATTAAACCAAAGGCAGCTTTGTAATCAACAAACCACTGAAGACAATGCAGTTTTCTTCTCCAGAAGGTTCTTCATAAAATAGGATCTCATCTTCCAGCTGGGAAATGCTCTGGAAGTTTCCTCTTGGTCTGTAATACCTCTTCCAGCATTGGAAAACTTCCTGATGGAAGTTACAGAATGATGGAGTCATTTGGGTTGGAAAAGGCTTTTAAGACCATCAGGTTCAAGCATTCCCCCAGCCCTGCCCAGGCCACCACTGCCCCATGTCCCTCAGCACCATCTCCAGGGCTTGGAAACCCCTCCAGGGATGGGGACTCCCCCCTGGGCAGCCTGGCCAGGGCCTGACAGCCCTTTGGGGAAGAAATTGTTCCCAAGATCCAATCTAAACCTCCCCTGGCACAACCTGCGGCAGTTTCCTCTTGTTCTATCACTTGTTCCTTGGGAGAACAGACCAACCCCCCTCACTCCAACCTCCCCTCAGGCAGCTGCAGAGCCAGCAGGTCTCCCCTCACCTCCTGGTCTCCAGGCTGGACACCCCCAGCTCCCTCAGCTCAGACTTGTGCTCCAGCCCCTTCCCCAGCTCCATCACCCTTCTCTGGACACGCTCCAGCCCCTCCATGTCCCTTTTCTGACCAAACCTGACCCCAGGATTCAATGCCCAGCCTCACCAGTGCCCAGCACAGGGGAACAATCATCTCCCTACTCCTGCTGGCCACACTAGTGCTGATACAAGCCTGGATGCTGGTGGCCTCTTGGACAATCCAAGAAGGACTTTGTTGGACATCCAATCTCCACAGGTCGGCTGGCAGGTCTCGCCCAGTCCAAGATGTTTTTAGGACACCATCCACAGCAAAGCTCTGAAGGCACAAGGCAACTCCATCTCCTCTGCATGGTCCTTCCCCAAAATCCCCTTGAAAAAGCAAAATCCAGCAGGTCCAAAAGTGTTTTCTCCAACCTACCTGCTGGGCACTGCATGAGGGCTCCCTATGGCCCAGGGCCAGCAAAAGAAACCCAGAGGCCATTACAAATTTAGAACATTTATTTATGCAACTGATTTTCTTCAAAGGAAAGAAAGCCAAAAAGAATCATAATTAAAAAATAATAATAGCCATTTCACAACAGCTGGATGTGTGTGGTACAACCCAGATCTCACCTGTTCCTCCTTCCCCAACCCTTTCTTGGTCCCCACCACATCTCATGGTACCTCATGGGACCAAGTGGCAGCAGCACTTGGATGCTGCCAAATTTTGGGAGTAACTTTTCCTGCATATAAACAAAACTGTTTCCAATCTGGTGGGTTTTTCATCTCAGGTTTTCATTCTTTCTTCCTTTTTTTTGTTGTTTTCTTTTTATTAAAAAGAAAAGAGAAAAAAAAAGCACCACTCCAACCTGTAATACCAAGAAACATCATCCATCTTAAGAACAGTATTTATATTTTTATATATATATTTCTATATATATTTCTATGTACAGGATGTCCTTGCCTCATGTCACACAAGCATCTCAGGAGGAGTTGGAGAGGGGTTGGTTTTTATAGCACTTTGATTTCCAAGTCTGCCCTTCAGAAGAGATGCCCTAAAAACCCAGAGACATCCAGCAAGGAGATATAAAAAAAGAAAAGATCTCACTTTCAAAACAGATATATACACCTCCTGCAGGCTCTGTGCCTCCTCAGGATCCAATGGGGTTTCGCTTGTCCTTTTTCTTCCTTACTTCCTAGCAACACTTCACCTGTGAAGCCCTGGGAGATGCTCCCTCCTCTGGAGCACAGAGAGGATGGACACAGGTGGCCCAGGCTCCTGGAAGGTTTGGGATGAAGCAGCTTCATCCCTCCAGCACTGGGGCTGAATGACACCACTACCATCCTGTCCCTGGGGAATTTCAGAGGTTCAGCTCAGCCATTTTCATACCAAACATCTTCCCCACTTTGGGACCTCTCTGCACCCACCACATGGCCCCTTTCCCTGGGACATCCTTGGACACATCTACAGACAGATGGGGACTGGGAGAGGGACACTCATTTATTCCAAGTCAAGACTTGAGATGGGAGCATTGATGGTACCAGGTACTGGTGTAACTGGACCATTTTGGAGACTCTGGTGGGGTACAAAGACTACTTGGGTCATGAGACAGCATGGGCACACAGCAGGGTTAGACAGCAGGGATGGCAACGAGGGGGAATAATGTTGTGTAGCCCTTGGAATGACTTCTTCTCAAATAAGAATTACTCAGTGAGCACTTGGGGAAGCCAGTCTGGGCAAAACCTTCTGAGGCTGCTGAGATCCCCATCACCACCCTCAGGAGTCTGCAAGGCAGGGGGTGGGACATCTCCCCAGGGGAAGAAAGGGCAGAGGTTGATCTTGTTGCTTTCCTCCACCCTTGGAAGGTGGGTGGAAACATCTCCTGGGTTTGCTCATCCAGGGCTCTGGGGCCTTCGTGCTGCAGGTGGGTTCAGCCAAATGGATCTACTCAAGCTCTGAGTTCTGCTATGGGAGAGACATCCCTAGTCTCTGAACAGGCAGGGAGGGGAAGCTGCCCCTGCCAGGGGGAGATGGGGCTGAAGGATGGAGGGGACAAAGGAGGGGATGAGGGAAGGGAGGGGACAAAGGACAGGGCTGCTCACATGCAACCTCCAGCACAAGGAGGACAGTTTCTTATCTGTTCTGCTCCACACCCCCCAAAAATGACAGTGCAGGGTTCTGCCCGGCCCTGAAGATAGAAGCAACCTCCCCTCAGCTCCTCAAGTCCCCAGGGCAGACCCCAGACCCATCATCCCTGTGACTGCACCTTCTCAAGGTCATTTGCAGGGAGAGCAAACCCTGACCATGGCTTGATTACAGCCAGGCTCTCCCCTGTAGGCAGGAACCCCTGGAATCACCACAACATCGGACAGAAAGTGACATCTCACCACCAGCCAGAGCAGGATGAAAGTATCAGGCACCAACCTCCCACACTTGTCCCCAGGTGGCACCAGGGGTGTGGGGACCTCCCCGTGCCCACCCTCAGAGCTCAGGTCTTCAGCACAGCCCACCCCACACCAATGACAGCCATCCTGCTCCACCAACCCCAGCAAACATCAAGCTGCATTGAGGGGCTCCTGGGGGACCCTCCCAGGGGGCACAAGGGATGGACCCAAAATTGGAGGATTTGCTTCTGGGCACCAAAGGTGTCTCATGTGGAGTGATTCACAAGGGAAAGGGTAAAAACAGTCCCAGGGGCTGGTGCCTGTGGGTCAGCCCAGGAGGACATCATTACTACAGATGGGGAAGATGCTGTGGAGATGCAGGAGAACCATCACTTAAGTTTTGTAAGGGTGCCAGGAGAGTCTGAGTCGGTCCCTGCAGAGGGACATCACGTGCCCTCCACATCCTGCCACCACCCCAGGTCCCCGCTCTGTCCAGGGCTGGATGTACAAAGGGTCACAACTCACAGAACTCAAAACAGTGAAGATCAAACTCATGGTGGGAACAGGCAGAAACTGAAGAACTCTTCTCAGGACCTTTGCTCCAGCTCAGAGTGTCCCCACCACAGGCAAAACCTGCCGGCCGCCAGCTGAGCTCCTTGGAAGAGCAGCTTTGACTCCACACACAATTTAAAAAGCCACGTCTCTTCTCCAAATATCCATCCTTCTCTGCTGGGAAGTGGCCTCGACTCCTTCTGTCCACCTCCTCCCCTCCCTGGCCTCCTCTCCAGCTGCTTTGGAGATGCCCAGGAAGCACCATGGGGCCACATCCTGCTCACACCGACCCCACGACCACGACTCAAAGCAACGCAGGGACAGGACGAGTTGCTGGGCCACGCCTGGGGTGGGAAGGGAAGATGGGGAGTGGAGGGTGAAGATGGGGGAGCAGCCAACACATCCCCACGTCCTTTTGTTTGCCTTGACCTGATGTTTCCTGGGGGTTCCTTCGCTGTGTCCCCTCCTCAAGCATCACCCGAGCGCCAAATGCGCCGTTGGCACCAGCCCTTGGGGAGCTCTCCTGGCCAGGTGCTATCTGGTCTCCAGGGACTCCAGATATTCCAGTGCTATGTCGTAGCAGAAATGATACTGCTCCTGGTGGGACAGAGAAAAGAAGACATGATGATCCCCAGTGAACTATTTCCCAAAGTTATCCCTATTTAAGGTTCAACGTCCTCCAAGGAAAAGCCTCGTTGAGGGCTCCGTGGGATGGACGCAGGTGTCACCCCTCCCTGGGGCTGTGTCCCTCTCCTTTCCTCTGGGACAGACCTGCTGAAGCAACAGGCAAGAGAAACTGCTTTCAGCCAACAGGTCCCATGGCCAGGGAAGGAGATGAACCATATCCCAGATCCAACAGCAAGGTATCTGCCAAATCTCCTGCATTCTGGGGGCATGTGGCAACTTCAGTCCCCTGAAGGGAAGGGCAAGGACTGGGACATCTCCTTACCACAAAATCATAGAATCATAGAATCTTAGGGGCTGGAAGGGACCTCAAGAGATCATCACACACTTTATCACCAGACCAGGGCACAAACCAGGCAGCACCAGGGTGGGGCTTCACCCAGCAGCCTCACCCCTGGAGCCCCTCCCATGCCCCCAGTGATGGACACCAGATCAGATGGTGGCAGAGCTGTGGGAATGACAGGGTCTGGGGTCAGAGGTGTCCAAAATGGGAGAGGCTTGAAAAAACAGCCTCATCCACCCTTGCTCTCCTTCATGTTCTCATGCAGTCTCCTGTCCTCCAACAGCTCACAGCAGAGAAAGCTACAGGGGAGCTCAGGCCTTGGAAGTGCCCATCTCCATCAAATGTTGATCCTTCAAGCATCCAACAAGCAAAAGCAGCCAGAGTGTGGGAAAAAAACCAACAAAAAATCATCCAAAAATGAGGTTTCTGATGGTGCTGAGAGCACTGGGACATCCTGGAAGCTCCTGAAATCCCCCTCAGCAGCTTCAGCAGCAGCACAGAATTCCTGTTATCCCCCGGGGGTGAGTGGCTGCTGGGGGACCCCAGGTAGGAGTAGGCAGAGGGGGAGAAGGGCTTCAAAGTGAGGACAGAGAAGATTAAAAGCACGTTAATGCTTTTTGGATTAAGAGAAGGGATTGCTTCCATTTATCCTCCCATAAAAATAAACCCCAGAGGCAAACAGAGGAGGAAGCTGCAGGGGCAGCAGGGAAGTGCCACCCACTGCCTGCTCCCCACGGGGCTGCAGCTCTTTACAGCAGGCAAGGATCCAGCCTCCCAGTGACTCCAGTAGATTGGGATTCCCAGAATAGACAGTTCAGGTTCATTTGAGGCTGGAGGATGCTTTGTGTCCTGATGGGAAATGCTGCTTTTTAATACCTTTCTAATTTAGCCCAGTGGGTCTGGTGGTTTCATGCTTGTCACATCATCATTATCTGCATCCCTCCCCCCCTGCTCCCCATCCCCTCCCTCACCTTCTCCTCCACTTTAATTCCTAATGCAAATCACACCCCCTCCTTGAAACCATTTCATTTTGCAATTGAGGGATTTTATAATCCAAACAGGGTAAACATTTCTGCCTGACTTGCTTTTAAACCATCATGAGGCACCTGGATTCCTCCACCATGGGGACAGACACGCGCCTGCTCCAGCCCCATCCTGTCATCCAGCGTCTGAAACAGGGTGGAGGCTTCTCCCCCTGACCTGCTGCCACCTCCAGCCTCCCCATCATAAAACCTGGCTCCACTGTTGCCCCCAGCAGCTTGGCCACCAATTAATTTCACTCAAAAGGCAGGTCCCTTTTATGTTTCCAACAGGAAATGTGTCTGACTCCACCTCAGAGCTGCTCCCAGCACCACAAACCCTCCTAAGAACTGTAATTACATCCCATGAATTGTCAACCTGCCTTGCTGCTCTAGGGAAGGATTTCTGACAAGCCCAGCACTGATGCCAAGGGTATGTCAGCATGGTGAGATGAAGGCAAGTCCAAGGTTGCCTCTCCAAGAGCTGCCTCTCCTCCCTGCCTGCCCAGCCCACACCACCAGCACACTCACCAAGACATGCTCTGCATAGAAACCTAGGATCATGGAATTATTAAGGTTGGAAAAGACCTCTAAGGTCATCAAGTCCAACCATCCACCCAACACCATCATGTCAGCTAAACTATGTCCTGAAGTGCCACATTCACATTTTTTTAACACCTCCAGAGATGGGGACTCCACCACTGCTGTGGGAAGCCTGTGCCAAAGCCTGACAACCCTTTGGGGAAGAAACAGTTCCTCATATCCAGCCTAAATCCTCCCCTGGTACAACCTGAGGCAGTTTCCTCTTGTTCTATTACTTGTTCCTTGGGAGAAGAGACCAAACTCCACCTCACTCCAGCCTCCCCTCAGGCAGTTGCAGATCCAGCAGGTCTCCCCTCACCTCCTTGTCTCCAGGCTGGACACCCTCAGCTCCCTCAGCTGCTCCAGCCCCTTCCCCAGCTCCATCACCCTTCTCAGGACACAGTCCAGACCCTCAATGTCTCATTTGGAGTGAGGGGCCCAATCACCTCCCTACTCCTGCTGGCCACACTATTCCTGATGCAAGCCAGGATGCTGGTGGCCTGTTGGCCACCTGGGCACATGCTGACTCACGTTCATCCAGCTGTCAACCAGCCTCCCCAGGTCCTTCTCCACTGAGCCCTTTCCAAACACTCTTCCCCAAGCCTGGAGCATTGCCTGGGGTTGCTTTGACTGAAGTGCAAGACCCAGCACTTGACCTTGTTGAACCTCATACAATTGACCTCAGCCCATTGAGGATGCTCATCATGCTACTCAGAACCTGGGGTGGGAAAGGTGTTTTGGGAGGTGAGCATCTCCCAGCACCTCTCCTCTCTGTTGGAAGGAGGCAGGGACTGGGATGGCCACCAGTGGTGGCTGGTGCTTACCAAGGTCTCTACCATATTTGGCTTGTAGTTGCGCAGGGTCTTTGCAGCATAGAAAACATCTGCCATGTTGTGACACTTGAGCATCTCCAGGATCATGGTGGAGGCACAGAAGGTGCCACTACGGCCACCTCCATTCCTGATGGGGGAAACACACGTGTCAGTAGTGAGATGATGGCATCAGAACATCCTCCTGCACCCTTTAGTTCCCTCCTTTCTGCATCCATCCCTGCAACACAGATGCCCTAGATCACAGGGTCATACACCAGAGTCCCCCCAGACTGAACCAGACCCCCCTAGTGGCAGTTGTGATCCTGCCCTCTGGTCCTCACAGGAGCCACAACCAAGCAAGAAACCACCTTTTTGGACCATTGGGGCTGGATCTCAGGCACAGACACTCAAGTTTCCAGCCCTGCCATGGATCGATTCCTCATGTGACCTTGGGGAAGCCCCTTTATCCCTCTGCTCCCCTCTTCCCACCTGCAGAGTGACCCTGGGTGACCTGTTGGGGAGCACTGCCCACAGGAACCATCCTACCTTCCACCCAGTGCAGAGGTCCTTGGGTACCTCCCCCCACCCTGGGTTGAAACCATCCCACAGCACCAGGGCAGATCCTGGCAGGGAAGGGGAGCAGGGAGAGGAAGGGGAGCCCAAGACACTCATGTTGCAGGAAGCACGTTCTCAAGTCATCCTTTGGCTAATGGAGACAGACATGGCTGTAATTAATTTTTGATTAAAGGCTCATCTGATGTCTCCACCAATCTGCCAACATGCCAGGTCCCATCCAAGGAGTGCGTGGGGGTGTTTGTGTGAGCCAGATCCAGCTGGGAGGAGGGGGATGGAGAGCACATCCACTTCTATGAGAAGCAAGTGGTGGGAGTTGCTCCTGCCACATCTCTTTGGAGCCTGTTACAGGCCCAGGACATGGTGACAGGGCTGGGACCTCTGCCAAGCCCCACTGCACCCCGTGTCAATCCTACTGAGCATCCATCTCATGGAGGTTTGACATGGTGACCACAAGGTGCCTCACCCAAAACTCATGGACCATTTGGCCACAAAGTCACTTTGGTGAGGACTTTGTAGAGGATCTCCAGGCCAAAATGTGGACACATGACCTGAAGGCATCTCCCCCCCTGCCAGAACCTGCTCCTCTCCAACTGACACTCACAGGCAGTGCACCACGGTCCTGCCATCACCACTCTCCTTCTGCCATCTCTCCACTTGGGCCAGGAGGTGCAGGAAGGATTTCTTGGAGTCTGGGGTGTCTCGATAAGCCGACCAGCGCAGGTACTGGAAGTGCCGGACCATCAGGTGCCCCTCCTGCAACTGGAGAGGCAAACAGCATCAGCAGCAACCCAGGAACCTGCCTCCACTGCAGGTTGGATGGAGGACATGAGGGGTTTTGCCAAGCATTAATAGGAATGACATGGAGCTGCTGGAGAGTCCAGAAGAGGCCATGGAGATGATGGCAGAGCTGGAGCAGCTCTGCTCTGGAGCCAGGCTGGGAGAGTTGGGGTGTTCAGCCTGGAGAAGGCTCCAGGGAGACCTTAGAGCACCTTCCAGTGCCTGAAGGGGCTCCAGGAAAGCTGGGGAGGGGCTTGGGACAAGGGCAGGGAGGGAGAGGACAAGGGGGATGGATTAAAAGTGGCACAGGGAGAGTGAGGTTGGACATGAGGAGGAAATTGTTGGGTGTGAGGGTGGTGAGAGCCTGGCCCAGGTTGCCCAGGGAAGCTGTGGCTGCCCCATCCCTGGCAGTGTTGAAGGGCAGGTTGGATGGGGCTTGGAGCAACCTGGGCTGGTGGGAGGTGTCCCTGCCCATGCAGGGGGTTGGAACCTGATGATCTTGAAGGTCCCTTCCAAACCATTCCATGATTCTATGACTAATCACAGCGAAAAAGAGGAAAACCCCTTCCTGGTGCTTTAAAGCTGGATGGTTCAGCTCTCTCCTCCACAGCTCACATTGACCCACTGGTCCCACCATCCCTGAAGCAGCTCCACTGACATGGCTTATCCCAACTCAGAGGATCTCAGGCTGTCTGTGCATCTCCCCAAACCTGTTACCAGACTCCTGAGCCTCCCCAAGGCTTCTCCATCACACCCTTGTCTCGCAGGCAGAAGGTCCCAGGGGACGTGTTTTGTTGTTCACTGTAAACCACAGGGCTGATGAGAAGCTGCCACCCACGGAGGTGGGAGCAGTGGAAGTGTGCCTTAATACCCAGGTAATCTGGTTAGTTCTGAAACCTAATCTGGTTAGCAGGCTCCAAGGAAGGAGATTACATTTGTACAGCTAAACAAGGCCAGGCTTCAGCCAGGATGACATGAGGCTCTTGCTCAGAAGTCCTCGGAGCATCAGGAGCACCTGATGGGATGAAACCAGGGGTCACATATTCCAGCTGTACCTCAGGGCTCGGTGGCACATGTGGAACAGGCAGAGGAGGACAAAGGGGAGATCAGGCACACAGATGGGGGATCCCCAGCTCTGGAGGCCTCCATCCACCCCATTTCAGATGGCTGAAGAGCAGGGTGAGCACCAGACCATCTCCAACCAGCAGGACCAGGTATTCCTGGGGCTCTGCAGGGACCCCCCAGACTGCAGGGTGGGTGTTGGGCCATGCAGTGCCTGCTTCCACCAGCACACCCCAAATGACATGGTGCTTTTCTGAACCTTTCTGGGAGCTCCAATGTGGGTTGTTGACATGGCTGGGGTGGGCTGAGCTCCCTAGACTTGAGCTTTTCCATCCAGTTGGAAACCAGGAGGGCAGAGGAAGATGAAACAAAGAAGGGGAGTCAAAACAGAAGAAAACTCCTCTGACAGCCCAGGTGAAAACCGGCTGGCTGTGGAGGACCTGTGACACCCTCAAGGTCTGGCTGCTCTGCAGCCAGCAAGGCTTGGCAAGAGGCTGCTCCCTGTGCTTCCCAGAGCTCCTCCAGCAATCTGCTCCTCGGGGAAATCTCTTCTTTGATCCAGAGCTTTTCATCACACTGCATTTTAATTGAGCACAGGGTAAATTCTACCACCTGAGAGAAGAGCACATTTGGTGAAGGGTTTTGTTGCTGACACCCAGGAAATGCCAGCTGCTCCCACAGGGATCATGAACCAAACCCCTCTTTGTGGTGAGTCCAGATAATCCAGATTTATCTCCACCAACCCAGCTCCAACCTGAAGCATCTTTCCCAGCCAGGCCATCAGCCAAGCCACATCCTCCATTCCAAGCTCCCTAATTCCCATCTGCCCAATGTCCTCCACTGGGGCATCAGCCTTGGCCTCTTGGCAACCCTCAGGAGATTTAAAGACCTCCAGGATGTCACCTTTCCAAGGATGGCTTTTGTAGCTAAACTGGCTTTTTGCCCACCTACAGCTCTGCACCCACCCAGCTGCTCATCTCAGTCCCTCTTCCTTCCCTTCCCAGTTTCACTGCATTTCCCTTCATGTAAGGGCAAGCTGAACCAGCCAAGCATCACTGCAACAAGGACAACAGGTGAAAACCTGGGCAGATCTTCTCACCGAGCAGGACAAGGGCTCTGCTGGTCCCAAGGGACCATTCCAGGAGTCTCCATCCTGTGATACACATGTGGAATAGACCTCCAGGCAGGATGAGGAAGGTCTTCCTACCGAGTTATCTAAAATCTTTCAAGAAGCTGTGAACACCAGAAAGGCTGGAAGGTTGGATGGAGCCAATGGCAACTCTGCAGGCTGCTCTCTGCCAGAAGAGCTTGGGCTGCATCCTCTGGAGAAGCTGGATTAGGCTGAAGAAGACATCAGCACCTACAGCACCATTCAGTTAGTCTACATGGAGAATCACCCATGGGTGATGCCAAGCTCTGGGCCTGCATGGCCTCACTAGATCCATCATCCTTCTGCTCTCAAACAAGGTCTTCACTCAGGTAAAGAAGCTATTGGTGATGCCCCAGCCCTTCCCCACAGCAGCAGCTCACAAAACCAATCCATCCCCTGCACCCAACCAGGACCTCTGCACTGGGAGGTGCCTGGAGACACCTAAGCAGTGACACACATGAGCCTGGTATGGAGCCAGAGGAGAGACCCTCACCCGTGTGATGTTCTGGACTCGGAAGAGACGGGACACGACGTCCTCATCTGCCGCTCCGGAAACGTACTCCACCTCCATGGGGCCGTACTGCTGGAGCCCTGGCTCAGGCCAGTACTGCAGGCAGGGCTGTGGAGAGAAGAGGCACAGCTTGATGGGACCAGGGACAGGCACTGGGACAGCAAAGGGCAACATGCATCACAGGCAACATCAAGTGGAATGGAGAGGTTGGTGCCGGACACCCAGAGGGGCTGTGGGACAGGGGGTGGCCCCGAGATGCGACACTGGAGCCACGATGCTGTTACTTCATGCAGGACCCACTGGTGGCTTCAGCTTGATGAGGGATCAAAAGCAAAAGGTCATGTCCAGCCCCCAGCACCCCTACAGCCCTCTCCCCTCTGCACGAACACAACAGCTGATGCTCCTGGTGATGGATGTTGCTGGTCCAGGAGGATGCAGGATGGTCCCTGGCAGGCATAGGCCTGATCCTGCACTGTGATGAAGAAGGGTTTGGCTGCTCCAAGTCTGCTGTCAAACCCCACTGGCTTCAGAAGCAGCTCTGCCACCAGGAGCAACAGCAACGTGGGACAACAGGCTCTCTTCTCCCCATGGTCAGGACATCCCTCCAAGCCAAAGCAACCCCAGCCTGCAGCCCAGGAAAGCCACCCCTGCTCCCCGTGTCCAGCATAGCACTGATGGATGGCTCGGTCCAAGGGTCACAGATGGGAATGTTTTCACTTCACAACAGCTGGAAAACCAGCACTGACACAAAATATATGATGTTTGTCACCAGACTCTAACAGGACATTTAGCATTTCAGGCCATCTAATGGCTTGGGCCGAATTGCATGGCCAATGTGTGTGAGAAATAATTGGTTATTAATAGGGCCTATAAATCTCCCAGGTCTCTAAACCTTCTAGACTCAAAGCTATAATTTGGATATTAAAACTTCCCTTGGCAAGATGTGGTTGAAGTGAGGGATATACCCTCTAAGTCACCTTTTGGAGCTGCCTGCTGTAAAGGTTGATTTATTACCTGTTGGTCCCAAACTGGTAAACATTTAAGATCCAGCTAAATATTGTAACACACACATCCCTGAAGAATAGATGTTCAGAGAAAGAGGCAGGGCTGAATAATGAAGAAAAATGGCAGAACCCCCATGAGAGGGTAAGGAGGGGACAGTGGCTGGGGACCTGGGGAAGGATGGCACAGGAGCAGGCAGGTCCTGGGGGCTGAAGGGCATTTCTGGGTTGTGGAAGGAAAGAGCAGGTTGAGAGAGAGGAATTAAACCTGGTTTGCTGCCTCCTTCCCTGCTGTGGAGCCCTGCAGCTGGGGTCAGCTCAGAGCTGGTGCTGCTGGTGTGCAGGGACAGTGAGATGGTGGCACTGGTGGGATTTTCAAAGGGTCTCCAGCAGGTATCTCAGGGTGAAACAAGGTGAAAAATGAAGGTGGGAGCATCAGTTGCTCTCCCCTGGTTGGACCTGTGTGTGCTGGGGCAACGCAGCTGCTCTCCTCCCTGCTGTCCCCCAGGCTCCACACAGAGGGAAGCCAGGCAGGTCCATCCCATCAGAAGCAAAGCCCACAAGGCTCAGGGCAGCTGCCCAGCCACACCTTCATCTGGCTGCCCCATCCTCACTCCAGGATCAGAGCCTGCCCACCAAAGGCAGGGCCACCCTTGGGTGCTGGGTCTGCACTGACACCAACTCCCTGCTCTGGACTCACAGAGGCAACAACCACCACTCACTGTTCACACCTTCAGTTGAAAACACCTTTCATGGCAGCTCCTGCTCCAGCCATGGCTTCACCTCCTGCCCCAAAGAGTCCCTTCACTCCAGCCATCAGACTGTTCATATTTTGGAGACAAATGTGGCTGGTCGGCAAGCCCAGGGGCTGGCCTGGCT